GTTGTCCTGTTTAACAGTTTGGTAGCCATCTGCACAACCAGCTTACAGAGAAGCTTGGATCCCTTTATCCCAACCACAAACACTCCAAGAATTTTAATTTTTTTTTAATTCTGTAATTTAGGGAAATAAAACTCTGGTTTCTGAAAAGACTAATTGAAGCCGTGCTTGCGGCAGGGGGATAAAAAGCGGCAGGGGCATCTCGGTGAGGGGAGAGGGAGAACCCCCCTCCCAGCCCATCTGTGCCCAATTTACTCCGATCTGGCCTCTCTGAGGCTTTTTTTCTTTCTCTCTCTCTTTAATAATTTGTTTTATAATTCCTGGAATCAAACCCATCTCAGACACACTGTTTTATTTTACTGTATTATTGGATTATACTTCCTATAAATCACTGGATGTTATTCATAGGCCACCCCCAGAATAAATTCTCCTCTCGTCCCCCTCGACGGCCCCGCATTCCAAACAAGCGCGCACCAAAGTGGGGGTGCAGCAGCGCGGGGCACCCTAGAGACACTTCCCGGAAATCCCAGCAAATTTGCCTGGCTGCGGGTGTGAAGCATCAGGCTGCAGCACCTGGATGCCTTCTGGCACTCTCGGCCGGAAAAAAAAGCGTGGAGGTTGTTAGGAGGTCGGGCTTGGGTGGAAGCGGGGAGGAGAGGGGGGCTGCTGCCATATGTGCATCCTCAGCACAGGCAGGGAATGGAGTTGCGTCCCCCCCGGGGCCGAGCAGAGTCGGGGCACGGGGAGGTTCTGGCCGAACGCGCGGCTTTAGCTGAGGGGTTGGGAGAGAGTGGGTCGTGTTTCAGCTGGAGGAGAGTTAGGACAGGGCAGGGTCTGTCTTCTCCAGCGGAACGTGGACAGGTTTTCTGTGCAAGAAAGAGTTGGCTGGGAAACTTCGAAGGCTTGTGCAGAAAGGGAGGATTCGCATCCCAGTCCCCGCAGGAATCATAGAATGGCCTGGGCTGGAAGGGACCTTAGAGATCATTTTAATCCAGCCTCCCTGCCGCCAGGGACACCACCTCTCGACTAGATCAGGCAACACATGGGGACCGAACGGGAAATTCAGAGCAGTGTCTGTGCCCATTGCCACACCAGGGTGCTCGGAGCAGCGTAGAGCAGGTCAGTGCTGTGTGGGCCACTGGGTGCAGAGAATACAAACCCTGGAGGTGTTTCAAAAAAAAGTAGAACTGAGTCCTTTTCTCCTGATTTCCTTCTTTGGTGAAGTGTGTATTTACACGCAGAGTCCAGCTGGCACCTTCGAGCAGGCGGCTCCGTGGGCTTTGGGCACGATGACCGGGAGGTCGATGGAGATGTCGTATGGGCAGGGCTGTGTCTTGGGGAGGCTGAGCCTCTGCAGTCCTGTGCCTCGTTGAGGCCAGAGCCTGGGGTCCCTCCATCTGCCTGGGGGGGACTCGGCTTTGTAAGGCAAGCGCAGCCCGCTTGGTGCAAGGGGGCTGGAGTTGAACAGTTTC